GTGGGCCAAGATCAATCATCTGGCTTCATGCCTAAGGCAGGACTAAAACTCATGGTCTCCTGACTTCTAGACTGTGCCTTAACCACTGCAGCAAACTGGTTCTCTATAACTTTTATACCAGCTCCATTTTACCCATACAGTACTTGAGTATTTGTTCCAGAAGTACTAAGTCTCAGCGTTCCAGAAAGTCCCCAACTCCAAGTAAAACTCCAAGGCAGGCATTTCTCAAAGTTCCATTTATTAGAGAAGGTAAACTGGCACATCTGGGAAAAGCTGAGAATGTCACTGCGTTTTTTTATTTACCAGCAGAGCTCATTATTTCTGGACTGTCAGACTTTCTGTAGTTTGCCAACTTTTGTTATCAGTAACTGATATTACATTCTTTTCTTCGAATTCTTTTCTTCGACTTCACTCTTTCCTTTGTTCTCTTGCCAGAAAGGTCCGGCTGAGAAATAGCCGGCACGAACTTTTTCAAAATGTAACTAATTAGATCAGTTAGTTGTTTTATTTTCTTTATAACAAATAAATGAGTTTTCTTAGAATATATCTTTGGGTTTTGTTTTCTTAAAGTATACTTGCAAGGAAAAGGTCTCGATCCACCCCTCGTAATCAAGGTGCGATTATCCCAAAAACAGAATGGGATTAATCAGCGCCCTGACAGAGAATTCTGGTTTTCCCTCAGTAAATCAAAACCCCAAATCCAGCCTCTGCACCAGTGGTGGGTTGCCCCCGGTTCAGACCCGTTCGCAAGAACTGGTGGTAAAACCGGCGGGAGGCTCCGCCCACCGACCCAGACATCATCATAGGTGAACTGCGCATGCGCAGAAGCGAGTGCGCATGCACTGCGAACCGGTAATAAAGGTAAGTAGAACCCACCCCTACCCTGCACCCATCACGTCACATGGCCAAATCACCATCTGTCCCAACTAGAGCCATCCCTGCAACCACTCCTCCTCTAGATGCATAACCACTATGACCTTGACCGAAGAGAAGAATGCTATTATGTCTAACTACAGTCACTCCTCTAAATCCCCCTCCCACTTTCCCAAGCACAAGAAGTTGGCAGCGGGGAAGCATCTGGGGCTAATATGGCTTCCAAAGCTGACACTATGACTTCTGAAATTTATTATATTCATATCTAGAATATGTAGCTATATTCCCAGGGGAGGGATGTGTGTGTGCGAGAGAAGCATATAACCTCAGTTCCTTTTTAAAAAAATCCATTACTAGAAGCTTCTATTTAGTAGTCCTCAACTTACGACTAGAATATTCAAAATTTCTGTTGTTAAGTGAGACATTGGTTAAATGAATTTTGATCCATTGTAAGACCTTACTTGTTTCATTTGTTAAGTGAATCACTGAAGTTGATAAGTTAGTAAGTCGGTTGTTGATTTTGCTTGTTAGACGGCAAAGGTCATCAATATGAATCATCTGCCAAGCATCCAAATTTTGATCACATGATCATGGGGATGCAAAGGTTGTAACTGTGAAAAGGTGGTAACTGAAAAATGGTCATAGGTCATTTTTTTCTAAACAGTTCGTTTCTAAATGAAGTGTTGTAAATCAAGGACTATCTTGTATAGTTGTAGACTGGCAATATGCCTGAAATTTTGTCTTTAAAAACAAACTGTAAGGAAATCCCTTGATGCAATAATTTCAAACAAATGAAAGTTTAAAACTTTCTGCAAATTCATAGAAGCAGAACCCTTGGAATAAGACTTGATTTGAGTGGGAGGACATTTATTTATGAGCTGCACACATCCTGCTGTCAACTTTCACACGTAATCAGCATCTAACACATCACACACACACACACACACACACACACACACACACACACAGAGAGAGAGAGAGAGAGATCTTGTGTCTGTATGTGCTCACGCATACTGTATATAACTTCTAAATAATATGGGTTTTTGAAGGTCTCAAATTCCATAATTCATAATAACCAAAGTTATTTAAAAATGCATTTATAGAAACTCTTGAGCTGTTAAACACATAAAAAATAAATAAACGTCTCTGTATATTTTCTAAAAATTCTTGCCTCACGCAGTCATTGATCTGACTGAGTCACTACAGTCATAAAACATTTCCCAATTAAGAAAAGATGAAAATGTCCTATGCTTCTTACTCAGTCTAGTTTTTCAGATGTCAGCCCTAGCTTCCAGAGCCAACTAGGTGGACTGAGGGAGCTGTGGACAAAAGCATCTGGAATAGGCTAGATGTCCATCGACCATTCTAAATTTCAGAAAGCAATAACATATTCTGGAACAAGCTTCTACAATATTAACATTTTGTAACCTGAAGTTCTTCAAAGACATAACTACTAGCAGGGCTGATTAGGACCTCTGCAGTGTATCATCTCAACATCTGGAGGGCACCAATTAAGCAAGGCCCTTCTAGAAAATCAGAGTGTGAAGAGCACAGAAATACTTATCTTGAAGTACACTTTCACTGCTGCTTGGCAGTCAGTCACTTTTATAGGAAAAAACGCTGAAGCACATTTTAAAGACATTATTGGGTTGCATCTGAATCTCTACTATCCTATCAGAACATCACTTCACTGAGGTATCACAGCTATCAGTTTCACTTGTGACAGAAACATGACACATTCTGCTCATTGACAGCTCTAACTAAAATTTAAAGAAAAATGAACCCAAAACATTATTATGATTCACAAAGCCATCACAATAAGCTAGTTGTCACAAAAAGAAGTAATTTAATGAATCCTATGTGAACCTATTAAACTAATTAGAACCAATTAGAAGCTTTGCAGAACTGATACTTCCATTCTGGTCTTTTTCTCAATCCAAAGTTTTGAAAAAGAAACATTTTTTTCCATTTCCCAATCATTTACAAATGGTTAACTATAAATAACTAAACAGCATTAGTTTTCATTAATTTTTGTTTTAATAAAACAGCTACCTTGCTTACAAAAGGCAATTTAAATATATCAGAAGTAAAACAGTTGTTTTATTTATATCTTTTTAATCAAAGAAAATATCATTTTCAGTTCTCTGAATCTCTTCCCAATTCAACTGTAGCTTAGCAAAAATAAAATTTTAGTTTCTATAGATTTTTTTTAGCAATTTAGAAAGGCAGTATATTTAATATAGGGGGTGTGTACACATAAGTTGTTTTCCTCAGTGCTACCATCTTATAGCTCTGCTCAAAATCATATTTAAAAATCCATTTGTTATGCATTCTTTACTGTTTATACCACTTATACACCGGTAAGTCAAAACTGGCAAGCAAGAAGAAGGATTGAGTTTACTTTAATATTTTCCAAGCCAAGTTATAAATTGCTTTTCAATCCCCAGAGAGGCATCTTTAATATATCAAGTCTGAATTCCATTTCTATTGTCTTAGTTACTCATTCTACTGCACCACCCCCCACCCATGGCATGCTTTGTATAATTGTGTAATTTAATTTGAATGCCAAGAACTGTTTAACCTAACATGTAGTCTGGCATGGGCAACATCACGGTCGACTCCTGGAGTTTACTACTTTTAAAGCCTGAGTGCATTAACCCTGTGAAAGTCTCCCTTCAGTTATGACATCTCTGGCACCATAACACTGTCAACACTGTTTTCGTACCAGCTATGCATATTTCCAGAGCTTGCGCTATGAGATTGACCAAGAGGGCACTGAGCTTTGGGGGGAAAAAAAACAGCATTATTCTGGCACCTGCAGAAAGAACCAGGAGACCAGCTGAAGACCCACTACAAATTTATGCTGCAGGTATCTAAGACACCTTCCTTTCTTCCAGAGAGGACCCTGAATGTAGAATGGGGGAAGAGAGTCAATACTTTTCTCTTATTCATTCACAAAAGCTGGAATTTCCCCCAGAGGAAGCAAAGCATGGATGTGCCACGGGAGAGGAAGATCTCCGGCTGATGCTCTCTTGCCACAAGGCTTTCCAGACACCACCAGCTGGTCACCAGCCCAACAAGCAGCATGGGGTTGGCAAGGTAGAGCCATTGACCCCATAAATGCTAATCTAAAGCACCCCACTCTCCCACCCGTCCCCATGGCACAAAAGCTGTGCCATCCCAGCCGGGCTCCCAACCTTTAAGGTGGGCATGGCTGTCCTAAAGCAAGGGGGTCTACTTAACTAACTACACCATCCAGCCCCAGATCTCTAGCTGGTGCATTTCATGCAAGGAAGGAAGTCCAAAGGGCCCCCCTTCCTCCGGGCGAACGAAATTGCTTTTTCTTGGTGTTTGTTTATTTCTCTCTCTCTCCAAAAATGGGTCAGGAGTCGTAGGCTTTAAGGCTTCGGGTACTGCGGCTTGCGCAAGCGGCCGGCCCCGTTAATCCACTCAGCCCGGGTCACTGGCGTAAAACTCCCGAGCGCCATTCTCCATAGCCGAGCGCCGGGCGAGAGAAGTCGGGGAAAGCCAACTCGCCACTGCCGTTGGATGCGCGGGGGACGAGGTGGAGGGGTGTCTTCTTTTTCCCTCCAACAGCAGCACCCGACCCCCTTTCCACGCCGGACACTCTCGCGTGGAATTGCCCAAGCGCTTTTGAAGCTTCGAGTTCAGCCGTCCCCCCACCTTCTCTTCTCTGCCCGGCCCCTGCCGGTTATTTTAACCTTTTCTGACAGCCCCGCAAAAAAAACAAAAACAAACACCTTATCCTATACCCCCGTTACTCCCCCCCCCGCGCTCTTTCTCCACACGGCCGACCTTCGCTTCTTCCCTTCCGATGCCCTCCTTCCAGAAAAATCAGCAAAGTGGCCGGAGAACCGAAATTGGGCACGCGGGGCGCACCGGAGAAGCCGGAGCCTGAGCTCCGCGCGTCAACGGAATATTAGTAAACCCTCCAGCCTGAAGCGGAGGGAGGGAGGGAAGGGAGGGAAGTAAAAGCCCAAGAACATGGCGATACGGTGGCCAGCGAGCCTCCCGAGAGGACTCTCTCTCTCTCTCTCTCTCTCTCTCTCTCTCTCTCTCTCTCCAAGCTGAGGAAACTATCCCGACCGGGTTAGGAAACCGGAGCCCCGCGCGCGCGCGCGACGAGTCCCTTCGCTTTGTCTCCAGCCCCGTGGAGCGGACAGCTCCCTTGCTTGCTAAGCCCTTTCCAGCTTCTCCTAAAACGCCTGGAAGCTTTGGCTGCTTTGGGGTAAGCGCTACGGACACCGGGGGGGCGCTTCCTTCCCCGCCCCTGCGACTTCAGGGACTGAGAGGAAGACGGAGGGGAGGCGGTATAAGAAAGCCGAGAAAAAACTTACTTGTGCCGTGGAGGCGCCGGCGGTGCAGAAGAGCGGGAGGGTGGGGTGGGGGGGCGCGTTCGTCCGCTTGACTGCTTCCTCGCAAAAGCTCGCTCAGCTCAGCCTCGGCAGCCAGTCAGAAGGAGCGAGCGCGTGCGCCACGGCCCTCTTCCCAGTTGAATGGGATTAGCCGAGCGCGCATCCCGGCCTCTTGGAGCCGCCGAGCCAACGTTCGGGCATGCTCAGTCGGCTGACCTTCCCCGTGTAGAAAGTACCATTGAAGTGGAGGGAGGGAGGGAAAACGGGACGGGCGGGGGGGGGACGCAAGGAGGAAAGAAATGGATGCTACCATCAAGAGGCGAGCTAAAAATAGACGCGGAGGGAGAAAGGGGGGAATTGCTGGAAGTTAAAGAGACAGGAGCCGAGCTGAGGAGGCTCTCTCTCTCTCTCTCTCTCTCTCTCTCTCTCTCTCTCTCTCTCTCTCTCTCTTCTCTGATTTCAGGTTCAAGCCTGGCGTGGACCAATGTAGCAGAAGAGCAGGATGCTCTCCTCACTATAAACACTATATGAGCACATCTAGAATGGTGGTAAGGAATGGTCATTAAGGAAAGAAAATCCCATGGTTGTATTAAAACTTGTATGAAGCATTTGTATGTGAATAGAATAGAATAGAATAGAATAGAATAGAATAGAATAGAATAGATAGAATAGGAATAGAATAGAATAGAATAGAATAGAATAGAATAGAATAGAATAGAATAGAATTCTTTATTGGCCCAGTTTGATTGGACACACAAGGAATTTGTCTTTGGTGCATATGCTCTCAGTGTACATAAAAAGACACGATACATTCATCAAGAATCATAAGATACAACAATTAATGATGGTCATAGGGTACAAATAAGCAATCAAATCATACTAGGAAACAATCAATATAAATTGCAAGGATACAAGCAACAAAGTTACAGTCATAAGTGGGAAAAGATGGGTGATAAGAAGGATGAGAAGTCTAATAGTAATGCAGACTTAGTAAATAGTTTGAGGGAATTATTGTATTTTTCGAAGTATAAAACGCACCTTTTTCCCCACTAAAAAGGGGTGAAAATGTAGGTGCGTCTTATACACCGAATGTAGCCCCACCCACCCACTGGTCCCCACCCTTTGGCCTCTGCCTTGCAGCAGTTACCTCCTTGCAAGCAAACAGCAAGAAAAAAACAGCTTCTTTCAGCTTCAGCACAGTCTAATTAGCACAAGTTGATTGGATCGGCCTCCTGACTCTCAGCTAATTTGCTCTCAGCTGTTTTGTGTAGGGCTCTGCTGCTTGCTGCAAAGAGGTAAATTGCTAGAGCAGATTTTTTTTTCCTTGTGCTAATCTAGCTATGCTGAAAACAAAAATGAGAGTAAAGCAGGCTGTTTGCTGCAATGAGGCAAAATTGTGCAGAGACAGAGGGAGATTTCTTTTTCTTCTTTTGCTCACCAAAAAAGGTAGGTGCGTCTTATATTCCAGTGCATCTTATACTCCGAAAAATATGGTAGTTGTTTAGCAGAGTGATGGCGTTTGGGGGAAAAATTGTTCTTGTGTCTAGTTGTTTTGGTGTGCAGTGCTCTATAGCGTCATTTTGAGGGTAGGATGTACTGCACCTTTTATTGTACACAAAATGGCAAAGAAAGCCTCTGGTAACACATGCCGTGCAAAAACATACACGTAGGTAAGTATCTTCTCTTTCAATTTTCTGAAAGAGAATTTGGCTCATAAGTAACATTTTTTATTTATTTGGCATGGAGTTAGCAGTCCAAGGTAATTGTCCTGCATTTCATTAATCCTGGATGTCCTATAGAAGCCACAATGACCCTACATCATAATACAATGATGCCATTGTATTAGTGTTATATAGCAGGTAATATTATGCAAATTGCATGATTTATTTAATTTGCATCATGATAATTGACCTATGATGTTGTTGGCCCCTTGCAGATGCCAAATGATTAATTAATGGTCTTTCTCTCTAGATTTCTATGCTTCAATTAAATCCCAAAGAAAGACATTATGGCAGAATTTGTGTCAGGCAGAAGGAAAATATGCAAATTCAGACAAAGTTATTTTGCTTGAAGGTTGTACAACAGAAAATGGCACCCGGTCTCTCTCTTTAAGAATAATAAACATTAAAAACACCACCAAGAAAAATATCAAAGAAGTTGCAGGCATAAGGTTAAAAAAAATATGAAGCAACTATGTAAGGGAGCTAATATTAGCTCAATTGAACTTTGGTATAGATGGACAGCGTATGGTTTGTCAATTGCATAATCTGTTCTCATCGATCAAGTTTATGCTACCAAAATTCAATGAAAATAATAATCCTTGATTTTCCCATTATATATTTATGAATAAGAACTTAAAGAGAAACGTTAGACCTGTGACAGGATTAATGCATTCATTTTGAGCAAAAACACTTGACCTTTTCCTTCCAAGTTCATAGCCATCATACTTCACCTTAGACACCAATATAAATAAATTAAGTTTGACTCCTATCCAGAAGAAAATTGTCTATCTTTCTGTGTTGTTTCATAAATAGAGAAGATCATTCATTCTTGATCCAGTCTGGTGTACCCAAGTGATTCTAATGATATAAGCAGTCACAACTAAAATATAGTCGTATTTTAATATTTTACAATTTCCTGGATGAATGTAGGTTCCAATATGTCTCATAAGCCCTGAAATCTATATAATTTTTTTCTTGGAGACAACATCTGTTAGAGCACAGCGGTGTCAGAGATTGACCTTTGTTTGTGAAACTCTTCTTGGGACAATCATTTCTATATGGTTCCCTTTGTTCTCCATATTCTAGAGAAAATGCAGCGTGCACTTTAACGATGTATTTAGCAGTCATGAATAAGAGGAATGCTTAATTTTGTGAATTCTATTTGTAGCCAATTTTGTCCTCGTTTAATTGCAGTGCTTAAGAGTTGTTCTGCTTTTTGAAATAATTATTTTTAATACCCCTAAAAATAAAAGAATAAATTATTTGCATTGGGAGCATGGACAGATGAGTAAAACACATTTGTATTCAACAGGAAGTGTGCAAATCAGAGGTGGGTTTCAGCAGGTTCTGATCACTTCTGGAGAACCGGTAGCGTAAATTTTGAGTAGTTCAGAGAATCGGTAGTAAAAATTCTGACTTGCCCTGCCCCCATCTATTCTCTGCCTTCCAAGTCCCAGGTGATCGGGAGGAAATGGGGATTTTGCAGTAACCTTCCCCTGGATTGGGGAAGGAATGAAGATTTTACAGTATCCTTCCCCTGTCATGCCCACCAAGCTACACCCACCAAGCCATGCCAGGCCCATCAAGCCACGCCCACAGAACCGGTAGTAAAAATATTTGAAACCCACCAGTGGTGCAAATAGTGTGTTCTATAGCAGCTCTAATAAATGGTATACAGAAGGCAATTCGGGTTCAACTTCTGCAATTAGAAGAATCAAGCTATGGAGAAAAAAAGTGGTTGAGGAATAGTAACATTATCAAGCACAAATCTGGACTGTTGGAAGAAATATCCATCTGATTCAGTTCCAAGTCAGGAGAAAGATGCTGGAAACATGGAAACCGATTGGAAAGATGGTTTAATGATGAACAGAACCACCAAGCACATGGTTCTGGTGCAGCTGACTACATGTAGTTGAAAGTGAGGAGTTTTTATTCCTTCTCTTAGGCTTTGAGCTTCCTATTCCTGTGCAAGAACATGTATTCTATTGGCTGTTGTAGGGGTCATAGCTGGCTCTGTAGGTTGTCTGAACTCTCAGGTTTGGTTGAAGTTTGGCTGATGCAATGAAGGGGCTTGGTTTTGTTTTTTTTTTGCTTTAATTTATATGCTGCCCTTCTCCAGAGACTCAGGGCGGCTTACAATGTGTTAAGCATTGGGCAATTCCTATTGTGGCTGAGGCTGAACAAAGGTAACCCTACCTTTGTTCAGACTTTGCTGCAAAGAATTTGCTTAAAGATGGAAAAATTCAGCACTATCCACAAAGAGTAGTGAAGATGATGGAACTATGTTGACTTCTTTGATCAGAGAAAAGACATTGGGATGGCCTGGGGTGGAGATGTACAGCTGCGTATCATCAGCGTACTGATGGAACTCCACCCCAAAGCCACGGATGATCTCACCCAGCAGCTTCACATAAATGTTGAACAGAAGGGGCGAGAGAACCGACCCTTGTGGCACCCCACAAACGAGGCACCTCGGGGTCGACCTCTGCCCCCCTGCCAACACCAACTGCGACCGGTCAGAGAGATAGGAGGAGAACCACCACAAAACGGTGCCCCCCACTCCCAACCCCTCCAACCGGTGCAGCAAGATACCATGGTCGATGGTATCAAAAGCCGCTGAGAGATCTAACAGGACCAGGATAGAGGAGCAACCCCTATCCCGAGCCCTCCAGAGATCATCCACCAAGGCGACCAATGCCATTTCCATGCTGTACCCAGGCCGGAAGCCGGACTGGAGCGGATCCAGATAGACAGCTTCATCAAGGTACCCAGGAAGCTGTCACGCCACCACACTCAACAACCTTCGCCAAGAAGGGAAGGTTGGAGACCGGATGATAGTTAGCCAAAACAGCCGGGTCCAGAGCAGGTTTCTTGAGGAGGGGCCTCACCACCACCTCTTTCAAGGCGGATGGCAAGACACCCTCCCTCAACGAAGCATTGATAATCCCCTGGAGCCAGCCTCGCGTAACCTCCCGGGAGGCCAGCATCAACCAGGAGGGACACGGGTCCATGACACCATCTAACCACCTCATCCTCTGCCATCCCCTTCTCCTTTTGCCTTCAATATTTCCCAACATCAAGTTCTTTTCCAATGAGTGTTCTCATTTGCTGGCCAAAGGATTTGAACTTCAGTATCTAACTATGTTTTATTGAATGGGTTTGGATATCACTAAGCTAAAAACAAGCTAATGTGCTTACTTGAAGCATAAACCAAATTGAAACATATTAATGATTATCACAATGTGGCATTTTGATTTTGGCTTCGTGTGAAGTATAAGTTGATATTGGTAAAATGAGATTGACTGGCAAACCATGATTTATGATTTCACAAGATAGGCAACTGTGCTTTATCATGATTAATAACCTCAATCCATATCTCGGCCGAATGTAGTTTTAACTGGAATTATGTAGGAAACAAGAGAGGCTATGGACATTAAGTTCACCTAACTCTAATTTTTAAATTATGTTTTGTCAAAAGACGAAATAAAGATGAGCACCAACACTGTGTAATGTAATGTGAGTGTTAGATTACTATGTTAAAAATAGCATAGAATTCTAATAGAAGAAAATTTGCACCATTATTGTCATAGAAGTACCAGTTTGAAGACATTAAAATGCAACAATGAAGACTAATAGAGTAATAAACTTGCTTCAGTTTAACAATAGTTATAAGTAATAGTTATATAAATTTCTTAATTTCATTATCAATATTTAGCAAGTGTTGCTAAATAAGTTTTTTAGAAGCATAACAAAAATATTTTTATCTGTTCTTAACTCACAGCTTCCCAGATTCTATTCCTTAAATGATTCTGGAATTGAAGTGAATC